GCCCCTGATTCAAAGACGCCAATTTTATCTTCAGTCTACTGCATTATTTTCTTTTTCTGTCCACTTTATTTTGGCAATTACTTCTTTTAATTCGGTTAACTCTTCAGTGTTTACCTACAAAGAAGAGACCTGTGTTTTTTAGAGAAGGGCTTGTTCTCGTAGATCTTCCTACCGCTGCCTTCGGTGGCGCTGTGGGCCCCTTCTTTCCAATTTTTGAAAATATAACATTCGACAGCTTCTTCCCACCTATATACCCATATGTAAAATACCCAATCAATAATCAATTCGAAATCACACTGGCCAAATACAAATATGTAACTATGCAAGATGAAATTGAAAGCATACTAGGAGGAAAAACTTACATTTTTCGCAGACTTTTGTGAGCTGGTAATTATTTACCCGATGGAACACCAATGAATCTTTCGCTCTACAAATCGAATTAAATAACTAGTTGTTGGAGGAGGGGGACGAGAGATCTCACCCAAAAATAAAGACAATACATTTGCAAGTAATCACCTGACCTTCAGTAGCCACGGAGTCGATGTATTGGAAGATATAGCGCCACTGCGAATGGAGAGGAGGATGGCTTGATTGAGAGAGAGAGAGAGAGAGAGAGAGAGAGAGAGAGAGAGTAGAAATTGGAAATGGAAGATAAGGGTTTTTTGTCTGGGCCATTTTTGTCTTGTGACTTTTGTTTGCCTTTTAATCAAATTTGAGTTTTTTTTTAAGTGGGTTGGGTTGGGTTGGGTTGGGTTGGGCGGGTTTAGTGGAACAACCCGCAGCCCGACCCGACCCGACCCGACCCACCTTCCTCACCCAAAAATCGAACCTAACCAAAAAAAAGAAAAAAAATCGACCCAAACTGGTCGGTTTGGGTCGGGTCGGGTTGAGCGAGTTTTTGCCCACCCCTAACTATAATAGTGAAATGTATGGACATTATATGCTAATTACCATTTTAATAATTTATTTGGGGACTCATTTGTGTTTTTTTTTTTAAATTGAGACTGTTTGTAATTAATTTTTTTCTTTTTATTTGAAGAGAATTGTATATTTGTCATTTCACAATTTTTAATTGAGAAAATGGACGAAATAACTTTTTGCTCAATGAAATGTGAAAATAAGGGTGAAAATACCAAAAAAAAAAAAAATGAAAGACAAGGACGTTTTCCACAATAATAGTGAAAGGTGGAGACGTTATTTGCTATTTATCCTAAATTTAAGTTGAAATATAACTCTCCCACCCTAGTGCAAATTAGACATGATAAAGCCCTTGTTTGGTTTGAATTTTTAGTAAATTTTGACAAAAAAAATTATGAGACTTGTAATAAAAAGTTGATGAAAATTCATAAAATATATGACTGAAAATAAATTTTAAAAAATTGGGGCCAAATCAAAATTTGAGTTCAAAATCACTCACGACACCAAGTGTTATGTGGCCCCTAATTGTGCTATTCGATTTATCAAGTTTTGGCGATCATGTTATTGCAATTCATTGAGAGTGGAGGATTAAGTCCATTTCAAGACATCGAGATATCAATTATACTTTGTGCATGGCAAGACGAGAAGTGACGATGAGTCTAAATTCGAGAAAGAATGTTTCGATATTGAGAGAATGGTGCTATACATAATTGGAACGGTCGAAGCTTCTTATTTAACTACTTTTGTTATCTTCTTTTTATTTTATTATATTTTTTAAAAAGTTTAGCTTGGAGTTGTTTTGTCATTTTAGTCGATTATTTTAGTATTTAAACAAGAGATAGACTTCTTTGTTTGTATGTTGTATTTCGATAAGTTTATATGAAATTGTGACATTTTCTTCAATTCTTCGATAGAATCTTGATATCACGTTCTGAATCAAGGAGTATGTTAATTAAATCAATTATTCAATATTCTTGCACGATTCAACAAATAATTGATTTCTAAATTTACGAAATTATTTGAAATTTAATAATATTTGAATTCAAATAGAACACTCTATCTCGATGTAGTTCAAATAAAAATATACTACACTCGTTGTTTACCATACTCCATTTAAGAGTTCTTTTCACTCTATAGGACCGAAAACTATAAAATGACAAGATCGATTTAAATGCCTAAATGCCACTCTTTCAATATATATATATATATTTAATACAATGTGATTATATTTTTAATTAAATTTAAAAATTAGATAAAGAATTAAAACTATAATTACACAATACCTTGTTTGATATAAATTAATATAAGATTTTTAGTAGATTTTAATAAAAGTTGATGAAATGCGTGGTTGGAAAGTTGTGGACCCCATAAAATGTGTGATTAAAATTAATTGTTGATTTTGACTTGAGATTAAAATCAGATTTGAATCTGAACCAAACATGGACACAATATATTTACACCACAATTTTTTGTTTACTACGTCACGTTATAATTATAATGAACGTCCTTAACTTTTGTTTAGTTTTACATTCATGTTCCCGACTTCTTTTTTGTCATAATTAAAATTTCAAGATTAATTTATGACACGTCTTGGTCACGATGACAGTCGAAAAATTCGTTAGATAAAGTAAAAAGATTTTATATGCCCTTCATATTTTTAAATAAGTAAGAGTGTAAGATAAATAACAAATGCATAAGTTCGACAAAATATTTTCCTCACAATAACATAATATTTGGATAAAAATCTTAATAAAAGACAAGATTTTTTCATTGATAGAATTTTAAGGATAAAAATTTGAAGAAGTTGACAACCTCCCTCACCGGCCCCTCACAATACCCCCGTTAATTGTAGCAGATCTCGTAAAAAAATGGTGTGAATATAATTCTAAAAAATTAATTTGTTCAATTAGGCACTCAACAAATAATATTTAAAATTTCCAAAATCCAGAAAAAAAAACGTTATTCATTCGACAAATATATACCAATATCTTACAAAATCGTAGTCGAAACAAAGAAATTAATATAATTATGGGAATCTGCAAAAGATGGTATTATCTTGAAAAAAAAATCAGAAGTAGATGAAATGGCACTCATCGTAACCTGAAATTAACCAAAACGAATAAATTAATTTCAAAATATTTTGCCCACTTTTAAGTACAATCGAACGTGAAAAACAATAAATAATAAATAATAATAATAATAATAAATGAACTTACTTGGATCTATGGAAACAAGAATAGACGTTCCTCCGAATTCACACGTGCCTCCAGCCACCTTAGTTCTCTGCCAAAAGCTGTTGAATGCGTATGAAGCATGTGCGAATAGAGTGTTAGGCTGAAAACATGGTCCACTAGGCTGAATTTGATCGCAATCGGCTCCAGACCCGCATGCATAGTTCATTGCCTCTTGGATGATCGGGTCGGGTACCGATGGCTTCGCCACACACCAAAGTGTCGTGGAGGAGGTGTGAGGCGGCGGTGGCACCGTGGGTGGTGGATAAACAATGGGCGGGAAGAAAATGTGTGGGCTCGGAATGTATCCGCCGGAAGGCGGGCTAAGCGCAGGTTGAGTTGGAGTAGGAACATTATATGATGGGCTTGGTACATAATCAGGTGGATTTGGGACAAGACTAGGTGGGCTAGGAACAGTAGTTGGTGGGTTTGGGCCGGGCAATGTTGGCCCAGAAGAGGCTGGAGGGGGTAATGGGGTGTAGCCACCTGTTGGGCTTGGGATTGTAGAAGGGGGCAGTGGGGTAGATGGGGGGCTATTATCAGGCAAGGGAATGGGAGCAAGGGAGTCATAGGGTGGCATAGAGGATGGTGAACTAATATAAGGATTACTATTTGATGAATCCAATGGCATAACAAGTTGCTTCAAAATGGGATCCAAAAAAGAGTGTCTTTTGTCCGTGTCAAACCGCTTCAAATCGTGCATTTTTCTAGTAAATTTGATGCTCCAACTTCTTGAATGTTTTTGAGTTCTAAATGAGTGAGCTGATTTTCTCGCATCTAGTCAATATCAAATGAACTATCACGTATCGAAAATTAAAAACTCTAATTCTATACCATCAAGAGCAATAAAATTGCAATAAAAGAACAAAGAAACAAATAAAAAATAAAAAAATGCAAGGTTCGCATCAATGTTGTTGCAGCTATTCACTATGGTTAAAATAAATTTACAAGAGAAAAATCGCATAGCCGATTTTCTTTGACATGTCTCTCTTTTGACGATGATCGAACAAACCCTAATAACGGCTTTCTATTTACGAGAAAAAATAGGACAATACTATGATAAACTGAAACATTTGAACTCACCACAATGTACAAGGGATATGGCTGCAATACACACACAGAGACCTCGAATGTACAATGTAAGACGAGCACTGTTTTTCTCCATGTCTTAGTTTAAACGAAGACTTCAAACTAAAGCTAGTTTGCTCCCACTCCACAGATACAACACTTAGAATCAATGGGGTTTATATAGAATGACCAAAACAGTGAAGGAATTGGGCATAAAGATGATACTTTAGAAGCAGGCAGCAGCTCACTTTGTACTGCCGCAGATTACTTGGGTAATGTGTGCATGAAGAAATGTAAAAGTTGGGTATTTTTGGGTACGTAGAAGTTGGCATATATGCTTGCTTGATAGTAGGAAATACCCGAAAGTTTGAGTTTTTAGACCTTTTCTTTTGCTTGCTTTCTACTCAAAGCCCTTCTGACCATCCTCCATCGCCTCCCACTTTCTGATTCATTTCAACAGGTTGATATGTAAACATAATCTGCTTTTTTTTAAAGATTAATCTGCTTATGATGCTTAAGTATAATCTGCTTTTTTTTAAAGAGTAATCTGCTTATGATGCTTAAACATCATCCCTTCAACTCTATTGGGCTTGGTTCACCCATGAGATAAAACATTATTAATAGCATTTTTGATGTGGTAAACTCAATAATACTAAACCCGATTGAATAAGGACCATCCATTCAAATAATGAAGTGTGTTTTTGTATCATATTTAATTTTGACTGTATATAATATTGAATTAAATATATTTGATAGGCTTGTAGGAAATTATTAACGGAATTGTGTGTGTTTTTGTGCCTTTTAAGGTTTACTAGCGTGGATCGCGCATTGCACAATAATCGTTATAATTTGTGTAATTCCACAATTGAATAATGGCAAAAATAACATTAAATTGTTTCAAGTAATGAATATTCAGGCACCCTTTAAATTACACAATTTATTGGGGAAAGTGGTATCTTCTAGTTGATCACTCAAGCTTTTAGCTTAAAGAACTGATCTTTGCTTGAACTTAGCCCGAGTAAGGCCGAAATATTTAATATTCAATACAAAATTTTTTTCAACCAATTTTACCATAACAAATATAACAAAACAAAGAGTAATAAAATGAAATATTATAGTACGATTCTCACCATATTGTTTTCTAGTTTTGACTTTTTTTCTTTTTGTTGTTTACAACATGTATTTTCTGTTAAATTATTAATCTTTCATGCTCGCTTACTACGAAATTCAGTTACCACTGAACTCTCTGAACCTTTATCTTTAAAAGAAGAACAAATATTGGAAATGAAAATAAAAACGTAAATTACAAGAATATAATTTATAATTGATACAACTCAACTTGTAACATAAAATTAAAAGGAAAAAATTACAGGTGAATCAACCGAATCAATGAACTATAGATATGGATGCTAACCAGCAGAAGTGGTTGGAATGTAGGTAATCTCCTAATTCAAGAAGAAGAACCTACTTCGATCTGATGATCTAACAGATTGCCCACAATTTTGCGAATGAATATTTTCTTCCATAAACTCCTTGCAACTACTTTATACATATTTAGCTCCTTAATAAACAATGTGTTTAAAATAATGTTTTAGTGCGATAAAATCAATTTTTGGATGAAATATGTAATCCTTTAACTTTTTATTCATGTTCAAATTTTAGAGGTCGAACTGTATGTTTCATTTCTGATTGAGAATTACATCATTGCAATGAACAAACTCGATTTCTGTCAATTTCAATCGGACCTTATCTAAGCAAAATACAGGGCTAACGGTGCCTTCACAGAGATTTACAATAATTGAAAATAATAATTTTAAACAACAATCTTTAAAAGAAATAGAGACTTTCAATAGATATGTTGTACCTTATCCACATTTGGTAGATATTCAAATGATTTTATACGATTTTACCCATTCACTACAAGTAAACCTGAAATAGCCTTTACCCACTACTTCTTCCAACTCGTACTTGGTGTAGAAATTATTCGGAAAACCAAATTTCTTTGTTACAAGTGACTCAATGTGCTCTGTCGGAGTTGACACTGAAAATTTCGCTTTTGCAAGTGATGTTTTGCTTCAAATGGAGAGTTTAAGAAAATAAGGGAAGACCACAAACAAAAAATATTTCAAAAATGTAAATTGAAGGTGAAATTTTAATATGTCAAATTCTCAAATATCAAGAACCCCACTATTATTTACTATTTCAATTCCCTGTAAAAATGGGAACTGGAAACCATTGATTAAAACTTGCTAAAAATGGAAACTATATAGCCTTGCAACACTTTCTTTTGATGCAAACAGATTCCATTATTTTAGTTTCTATCCAGTAGCTAGTTCATACATAGAAAAAGCAACATAAATATTTCGCTCCAACTAGAAGGTCAACACATCCATAAAGTATGAATGAGCACTGATGTAATGCAAGTAAAACTTTAGTATTGAAGCAGATAAAATGTGTTTTATTGTTGATTTCTTGTAAAGCAATTAGAAATAACTTAATATAAGGTGGTGTTAAATAATAAAATTATTCAGTATGAAATTATACATTTGAAAAATCCTATAATGCAAAGTAGACCTGTAGCCAAAAGAAGAAAACAATCAGCAGAATGAAATGTTCTAAAATCCAAAAACTAAGAAATTCATCAACGATAATGAAAAAATCAACGAAGCAGGATCGAATATTAAGATAGCAGAATAAACTTCCAACAATAAAATCGCAGAATAAACTTCCAACAAATGTACCTATAANGCAGAATAAACTTCCAACAAATGTAACTATAATAAGTCGGTAATTATTGAAATGATGAAGAACACTTAGTTATTTGTATTGGCCCAGAATAATGGACAACCTCAGGTTGGCACTTTTTGATTTTCCCTTTAGAGTCACTATATTATTTATACGGAGTTATGAACATATTGAGACCTCAACATATTTTCACATACTATCAATAAATCATTATTTTCCCCCTTTTGCTTTTCTTTCCTTTGTTTTATCAAGGATTCATTAGACAACTTCTCTTAAAAGCTCTCCAACCAAAATGGCACAATCCCTAACATATTGGGTAAGCTACAAAAACTTCATTTCCTATACAGGTTACTCTCTTTGAACTTTATGTTATATAATATTATTTATTTTTGAATTTTTTTCTTGAGCTTTCATTCCTGCTTGTTGGATTGAAACTTTGCCCTTCAAAAATTGTAGACAAATGGGCCTCTGTGTTTTTTAGTGGACCAAACACAGGGTGGCATTATTTTCGTCTTTTCTCATATTTTTCTTTTCATTCTCAAGCTCTTTGTTTTTTCTGATTATCTAGTAGGCTCCCAAATTTCATTTTTCTAGACTCCTTTACCTGTTATTCTCACAGATTTCCACAAAAAATCAAGTATTTGTAAGGTTATTGAAAATTTAAATCCATAAAAGTTTGTTAATTAAGAGTTTCATTTCCATGCAATATTGATTAATAATTTGCGATCTCATCCTCTACTAATGGATTATTTTACTTCTTTATGCAGCCTCCAATCTAGATTGTTGACTTTTGAAAAGAACACAACAATCCTTACAACACTATCTTTCTTCACAAAACTTACAGATCTAGGCAATACATCTATGCATAAACATAAACTTGCACTGATTCACAAAAGCAAAACTTTTGTTTCGCATCACAAATGAGAAAAATACAGAAATAAAAACCAAAGTTCTTAACAAACGGTTCCCACTAAAAAAAATGGTCGTCATACAAATAACAATTATAATATAAAAAAATGTTATATTACCAAGAGATATAGATAAACGTATGTCTGTATAGGAGGGAGAAGAAAGATCGAAAGAAAGCAAAAAATAATGTTTGCTTTCTGTTGTAGAAAGAGAGACAAAGAGTGTCCGTGATAGATGAGGAAATGAAAATACAAATGGAAATGATGTTCAAATTTACGTGAAATGAAATGTAAATAGATAAAATGTAAATGAAAATGGAAATGACGTTGAAATTTACGTGAAATGAAGCAATAATGTTCAAATTTAAGTGAAATAAAATGTAAATAGATAAAATGTAAATGAAAATGATACTAAATAATTCACTTCATATACATATAAATGACATTAGCATGAGATAAGGATGATGCATTATGAATAGTAATCAATTCTCCTCTTTTATATATTGTAGTGAAATAAATCTTAACAAATAAAAACTACACAAGTCTTGGTTTTGCAATTATAAAATGGAAGAATGTTCTTTTTAATCATAGTTGGATAAATTAAAATAGTGGGTTACGATAAAGTGTATATTTTAGTTGTAACTCAATCGAATTAGAGCAAGTTTGATGAAACACAAGCTACGCTATTTTTCCGTTTGATAGAAATAGTGCTTTTATTTATTTATTTATTGATAGATAGATAGATAGTTATAGGATAAAATAATAATAAAATTACTGAATTTAATAAATATTATAAATTGGTTTTCTCAAGAACAATTAATCTCTATTTGGTTTAGCTAAAAATCAAATTTTTAGCATTTGTTTGAAGGTGATTATTTGGTCAAAACAATATTTTGAATATTGATTTTTAGGGAAATGTGTGATTAAAAAATAGAGAAAATTTTGAATTGACTTGCAAAATATTTTATTGTATAAATGTGTGGTTAATTTTTTTGAAAATGAGTACGTAGAAAAAATAATTTTCAAATAATGATTGTCAAACATGGGCTGGTAGATTTTGATCAAAGTTGATAAAATGTGTTGTTGAAAAGTTCAAAAAAGTTGTGAATCCCACGAAATGTATGGTTGAAAATGAATTTGTAGAAAAAATGAATTTAAAAAAAAAGGGACCAAACGAGAGCTTAATTTTGAGATTGTCGTTGACTTGATATATTTATGAAAGAAAATATTTATCACGGCCAAGTAATGACATTAGCAACTTAGAATGTATTTCCAATCGGTTCGATGCAACTGTAATATATCATTTATTGTGATTTAATATGCTAGTTGAACTTGAAGAGAAAATTTTGAATGAAATTATTCATCTACAAGTTCAAAAATCCATCAATTTTTTACTTGCTGCTGTTACATGGGTCACACATTTTGTGGACAAGAATGGACCCAA